TGTCAAAAATTATTTGCCTTTTTGTGGAGCATTTTAAATACAGAAAAAAGTTTTTAAATGGCGGAATAGTTTTCAAAAGACATTTCAGTTTTTGCAATACGCAAAACTACTAGTGGATTGCCAAAGTAGAAAATACAATGCTATTATTTATTTTTTTTTTTTTATATACACTAACAGAGACAAATAAGAATGTATTCATCGAGTAAAAGACAGCCTATACCCTAATTTTGTTATTTCATAAGTCTTATATGTCTTGCTCTAACCATACAATATTTAATAATTTAAATAACTATTTAATTGTATTGTAATGTATGTCAATAATAATTTACGATTTTCTGCGGTGGATGATATTTGTACACATGATAAATTTTTACCAGAGCAAGCACGTCCCCGACTAGAAAGTTATATCTTTTGAATTTTAGTTATATTGCTATCTGCTATCGATTCGTTATTTGGTGACATATGAAATTATTAATAAAATTAAGTCTTAATCTGCGTATGGTATAAGAGGACTTATATTCCAAATTACAAAGGCTGTTATAGTCTATGATTTGAGCGCGTTCATTAAGAAAGATGGACAGAATGAAGGATAGACACACAGGCAGACTGGCAGACTCTTCTTTCTAGGCTAATCAATAATCTATTCAATGTGTAGTCTGAAATGCTTTCTTTTTGTTACATACATTTTACACTTATTTAATGAGTATACGGTTTAATAGATTAGACAAATTTCAACGAAGGTTCTCCATACTTCGTGTAATTGTGTTAACGGATGACATTTAATATTATTGTGCAGCCATTTACAGTGGAAACATAAATTGCCTGTAATACATACTCGTTCGAGGTGTTGTTGAGTAAAAATGCTTAAATTTTAAACAATTCATATTATGGTTATTAAAATGTTTTAGCTGATACAGAAGTAGCTTCGTTTTCTGATGGTTGGCTGAGCATACAACTTCGAAAAAGAATTTTGAATTAGGTACCACGTTTGCCGCTATTTTTGGAGAATGGCATTTTCTCAGTGCATGCATTAACTTCGCCACTTGGTCAAGTGGCTGCTTAGACGGCAGTGAGCGCTTCGTTTGCCATTTGATTTCCGGTCGGATTTTCGTTATTGGCCTCGAGTCCAGGCGCATCGTAAATTAGCAGCGGTTTATTGCTAGTACGTGACATTTTGGTCGCTGCCCAACGTCTGCAATTATTATGCCGTCCATTCATTTGCTGGTCAGCAGCAGCAAACCCTCACGCCCATGCTGCCCCCCACTCAACACCTCTCCCTTCCTCACCCTCTTACACTCTCTCTCTCTCTTTCTATCTCGGTCTCGGTCTTGACTGAATTTCATTCTTTTTGCGTGCGGCCTTTTGTGATTGTCTTTTAAGTTGGGCGCTGCCTTTGTGGCTTATGTGAGGTCACGCCTCCTTGTGGCACTTGAGTCGCCGTCCACTTTAACATTTCCTTATTCAATATTTGCACAACAATAAAACTTTGATTGTTCCAATTGTTCGCTGTACTATAAACTAAGCACGCCCCCAACAACAAAACGGCACAAAAATACTTGGCATTACGCATACGAAGCGTGTCGATGATATATGTTTATATTCAAGCATTGAATGACTTGACTGGGTGTATAAGGACTAAGCCTTGATGCTGTAACTATTTATCTAAAATAAGTGCTGAGTTTAGAGTTGCAGTGTTGCCTATCTTTTGAAACTTTCTTACAAACAAAATACGTGAAAATTTTGTAAAATAATTTGAGACGGTTAAAAATCAAAATTTAAATCAAATAATATTAAATTTTCTGGTGTATATGCAATGTGCAAATGACAGTTTTAAGCAATGTATTTAATAAGTATCCACATCATCCCAATGAGCCAGAAAGTTAAAGCCGTAATGCAATCACAGTTTAAAAAAACCCTCGTAGCACGTAATGTGTTGCAGTTGCAAAATATTTCTGCATTGTGAGAGTGTGTGTGTGTATGCCGATGTGTGTGTTGTGCGTGCTGAGAAGCATTTAGAACGAGAAAGCTTTGCCATTGCCAGTGCGTGACATCAAGTCGACCCCTGTGACCAACTTACCAACTTACCACTTACTCTAGTTGCACTGTAGCAAAATAAGCTATTTTCATTACAAATTTTTTTTTGCTAAATTCCGAATGCTTTCACAATTAATTTCTGATTCAATTCGGTATCTGTGAGTCTTATTTAATATTTTAAAGAAATTGCATTCAGAACTCTCTCACAAAGCTAACTCTTGTAAGTGTTTTACTTTTAAAATATGGTTATGAAGCCGTTTCAGTTTTATATCAATCCAGAAAATGAGTCTTTCCCCCATTTTCCACGCAGGAGCAAACGAGCTTCTCTCAATTGCTGCTGTTGCAAGGCCAATTGCAGCTGAAGTTTGTTGACTTTGTGCCATTGCTTCAAATAGCGAAATTTTAAGAACATAATCTTAATAATTCGAGCTTTCTAAATGTGCGACAGATAAGCTGCCAAAACTGATAAGCGACAATGAGTTTCAATTTTAAAGTGTGCAAACGTGGTTGGAGGGGGTATGAAACATGACGAGCATCATAAGTTCATTTTCAGCAACATATACGGCAATAGCAATAAACTTGATACACACACACACACACACACACACACACATGCATAACATAATAATTACATATAATAAAAACAATTTTTGCCATTTTATGGCGCATAAAACTGTAGCATATTTTCAGTCGGCGCACTAAATTACTTGCAGTTATTGTGTGGCCAACAAAACACAGCAGAACTGAACCAAACAGTCGCATATGTGTGTGGCACAACAACAACAACACACTAACAAGTAAGAATGCTGCAGTAGGGTGAGATAAACTACGAGATACCCTAAGCTCAGCTGTTTAACATATTATTCTATTTTTATTGCCATAATTTCCCTTAACAGTTTCACACACTGAATACCTAGAAGTGCTCTCATTTTTTGTAGCCGACTCAGTTACTGTAGAGTAAAATAACTATAACTTGGGTGTTTCTTATCCGATTTGAATTTAATTCGAACAGTTCAATGTGCATAAGCATATGTACCATGTGCATATTTTATATTAATTAGAATCCTTTGCCTTAAAAATTGTAGCAGCGGCATGGCTTTATCAACTCGGCTTTTGATTCCGATCCTGATCCTGAGGATATATATATACTTAATTGGGTCGGACATGCTTCCTTTTGCCTGTTACATACTTTTGCACAAAACACTTATTCTCCCTTTTACCCATTTTTAATGTGTTCAGGGTATGACAACAACAAGCTGTTATCGACCAGTTGAAAAAGGAATTTACTGATGAATTGCGGTTTAGTTTTACGAGATGCCACGAGACAACAACATGCACTATAAATGTAGATGTGTGTGTGTGTGTGTAATACTTTTTATGAGCAGCGTTAAAGAAAGTTGCTGCCACATTTTATGTGTCTTTAATGTGTGTTTGTTAATAAAATCGAGAGACAAAGTCACCAGGCGCAAGGCGCAAGGCACAAGGCACAAGGCTTCAGGTCCAAAACCAACCAAAAAAGCTGGCCAAGAAGCTCTTACCGAGTTTTATATGACATTTTAATGTGCGCACTTTGACACTTTTAATGAATGCCCCCCCGCATTAATTTTCTTAATGATCGCACTCATTTAAAACCAAACGAAAACATAAATAAAATCAAATGAAAAGAAGAGAAAAGAAAGCCGAATCGATTGAAAAATGGTGAAAATGTTTGATCTCGTACGGCGAATGACAATGGCGCAAACAATTTCCTGTCCATTATTGCCACATAATGAAGTTCCAACTAAAAGCCATTGCCACACACACATACACACAGAGCGAGAGAGAGAGAGAGAGAGAGAGAGAGAGAAATACACACATGAGTGACGTTGTCCTGCGCCAAGGCAGGACGTGCAGCGTGGCCGGTCAGCTTAATGAGCCGCACTAAATTCACACTGAAACTTTTTGGCAAAAAGCTCTAGAGATGCTCAGCGTTGAACATGGTTGTGTGAGGGAAGGGGGAATGGGAGATAGGAAGGACTGTTTCGGTTTGGTGGAAACTATTTATCGCTGCTGGCCGAACAAATGTGCTGCACTCGGGCGCCTGGCAGGAATTTATTGACACACTCAATCGAACGCTTTGATCGTTATCCCTTTGCTCCTGCGACGCCCTCACAGCCAATAGACAACAACAACTACAACACAAGCAACAAAGACAAAGTTAGTTAAGTTCCCCTTCATTTAGCAGTTTGTTCGTTTGATTGTTTTCTATTCTATTTTTTCACCCATCTTGCAAAGCCCTTTGGCACAATGCCCACCAAATGTGTTAGTGAAGTAAATTTCACAGATTTCAGTGTTTTTTTTTTAAGATTTATTTAAGGAATACTCTTATTAAAATAAGTTCCATAATAATAATAATATATAAAAATATATAACAAGTTATTTAAATCTGTTTCCCCATTTTAGAATCTACAATGTTGTTATGTCTTCTGGATCTCTTAGAGCATCCATGCGCAAAACTTATTTACTTTTTTTTATTAAAAGATAAGCTGTCAATGGGATTTTATATCTATAATCGCTAAAGCTACATTTCTAAATCTAATCATGTCTCACACAATTTGAAAGCTAGAGTAACCATATTTGAAATGTATATTGTTTATCCTAATACCCTTCAAATAGCATACAAAACACGTTGACTACGCCCAAGAGGATCTCATATCATATCGATTTCCGATATCAATAAAATTCACCATTTTAAAGGCAAAGGATTTATATTGAAATTTATATATATATATATGTATATATGCATAAATATATTATTGATCTGATACAGTTGCTCAAATACATGGGCTCTACAATAACTATGCTCATGCTCATATATTTAACTACTGTGTTGAGGGTATCTCGTAGTTGAGCTCACTTTTTTTTAACATTAATTATATTTTTTCTATTGATTTTTCCAGTTTAATCCAACACTTAACATTTAAACAAAATTAAATATTTAAATTGTGCATGATAAATTGCGACAGCATGTCGCACTTAATTTATTGTCTACCATTTGAATATGTACCCTAAAAAAATTAACAATTTAACAATATATGTTTGCTTATGTATAGTCCATAATCCATAGTTAGTAAATATATGTGTTTGCTGTTTTGGAACGCTTGTGGAATTTACGACACCATTTTCAGAAATAAAATATTGCGTCGAATATTGTGCGGGAATGCTGCAGTTTCGCTTGGTACATTTGTACCACATGCTAATCGTCGCTGACGTCAGCAGCCCGATGGAACTCAAAGCTGCTGACCTGTGGATCCAAATTGCTGCAGATTTTTGGCATGCATTTTTGTTTTTCCTGCTCGGTGGCAAGGGTTGCCATGGTCAACTCTAACATTTGAATTTCGTGTGGATCTGGATTTGTCTTATGCCCCCACTTGGGAAAATATATGTAAGCCACAATGAGGACAAGCAACGAGATAGTCACATAGCCTGTCGAATGGTTTATAAATTATTTCTGAGTTGTACATAAAATATTGTGAGTGAGTAGGTACTTACCTTCCACAATTAGATTGAACACTTGGTACGTTGAGCCCCGCTCGTCCAGTCGACAACCCCTCTTGTGATCATACAGTTTAGGCACGAACCAGAGCAGCGTGAAAGAGAACCATATTATGACTGCCAGGCGATCTCTCTTCCGCAGGCCCAGAAAGAGATATACATTGAGGAATATGTTGAAAGTGTAAACACTCAGCCAAACAAATGGCTCGATGTCTAATGAGAAATAACACGCAGCAGCAGCAAAGCGAAAAGCAATTATCAATAACAACAACAACACAACAGCTGGCTATTAAAAACAATGTAAAATGGAAAAGTCTATAACTATAGCTTACCATTGTCAATGGTATGCTGCTGCGCCACGCACCACATTAAAAAATATGTTAGCGAGTAGAAAACATTGATTATGGAAATGCCAAGGCCCAAGTCCAAAAATTTGCACATCTTGGTGTGAGTTTGTATATTTATGTGTGTGTGTGTGTGTGTGTGTGTGTGTGTGTATATTTGTGCGTGCGTGTGTCAGTGTGTGTGGTGTGCGAGCGTGTGTGTGGCGTTTAATATCGGTTCGCTCTTACAACGGCATAAACAAGCGCGAACCCAAACCCGAGACCGCTCGCCCAGAACGAGGGTTCAGCGTATACTGGCGACCGTATTGTGTGTTTTGGTCAGCAGCGCGAGAGGGAGAACGGGAGAGCGCACTTGGGAGAGAGCGCCAGCAAAGAGACAGAGAGTCAGAAAGATAAATAATAAGGCGAGCACGTGCTGTGGAACCCATTTTAGACAGCCAGTTGCAGCCCAACAACAACGAGCAAATGTGTTAAGAGAGACGAGTTTTTAATTGAAAACTGAAAGTTGATTGAAATGCATGTGATGACTATCATATATTCGTATATCAAATATATTAAAAGTATTTATTCTATTCAATCTTAATTAATTCATAAATGTCAATCATAATTAATGTATTAAGTTTGTGAATTGATTATTCATCTTCCCTTATGGCATGCTTGGCTGACCAAAGCACTTAATGAGTTCCAGTTGAGGTAAGAGGCAAGGAAGGAGTACTAAAAGAGTTCCACATACATACGTCAGAATCTAATCATTGCACCCCTTCCAGTGATTGATTTGATACTCTGTGATTCGTCTGTTGAGCATAATTGCAATCAATCGATAATTACGTTTATGTTAGCTGCTTCAAATGTTTGTTGATGCTTGGTGATTAGCACTTTGCAGGTTTTTAAGTAAACCATTTCCATTAATATTATTGACACAAGTGTTGTGGAAACAGATTTAATGTTAGACTCAAAGATCTGTTAAGCTGACTGTAAAATTATTTACTGCCTATTAAAAATAAAATTAGCCGAAAGATCGCACTTGAGCATGAAAGAATACTACAAATCTGAAACCTCACATCTGAAATAAAGTTATAAAGTATATATACAGAATTCCATTTCTTCATTACACATCTCACCACATTACTTGCATACCAAAAATGAGCACAATTTTCATAGTCGCTTTTGGTGATAAGTAAATGGTGAAAAAGCTCGCGAGCCGCGAGCGTTGATCACTTACCCAGAACGAAGGCTTGACGTGGACTGGCAAACATGTTGCTCAGCAGCAAGCGGAGAGCGAGAGTTTCGAATGTGGAACATAATTAATTTCTGGAAATGGAATTGTTAATTGAGTTCCTTAGGCTGAATTCTAAACACACTTGCCGAATAGCTCGAACCTCGTTTAAAATCCAACACTAATTATTGCTTACAGTTGTAATTATATTATATATATATATATATATATATATATATGTATAAAACAAAAACATTTATTAATATGGACAAAACTTGGTATTATCATCAACACTCTTGTTGCAACACGAGTTAGCGCTTATGCCCCATGTACGTGAGTGTATGAGAACGTGTTCGTGGTGTACTCAAAAATGATATTGTTATTGAAGCCATAATCAGTGACTGAGCTGAGAGACCAGTTGCTTGCTATAAGCTTGAGTGCACAAAGAGTTCTTCAATTGCGCATTTTCATTATACCCTGTAGTCAAGCAACGCAGCATGAAGAGCTATAAAATGTGAAAAATTTGAGCCCATCAGCAATAGAAACACTTTATCGATTATTATATATGTTATATATTCATATATTTTATTTATGAGTATGCAATAAATTAAATGTTCAGGCTTAACTTTCAAATGACGCGTTCCAGGCCATGCTGCTCAGATAGATATATACAATAAATACATACATGAACTGTGATATTACAAAATGTGGCGGTTTTTTTTTGCCATTTTAATGAATAGCGACCAAAACAGCAACAACAACTCAAAGCATGATATGAAAAAGCAAACCACGGCATCAAACAACAGTCAGCAGTATGTTTGAGCGTGTGTGTGTGCGTGAGTGTCGGTGTGTGTGTAGGTGTTCAGCAAAAAGTTTAGTTGAGTTCACTTTAGTTAACTGCAAAAGCAGAAATAGCAGGAACAACAACATCGACTGCAGCAACGGTCCTAGTTGATTGCTATGCTTTGCTTCGACTGGTTGCATTGGAGTGCGGCGTGTGCCACAAACCAATGAACCACACATAATGGTATACCAAACCAACACATACACACACACGCACACACGCAAATAGTGGCAGGCAGGCGTTTAAGTAAGCGTGTAAATTATTTGAATTATTTATGAGTTGCAGCAACAACAATAACAAAATCAGCAGCGTCGACAGCTACAAGAAAGGCACAAAAAAGAACAAGAGAGAACGTTGCATTTGGGAGTAACCGACTGCGAAATACTCTGATACACATTTTTTACCAATCTTTGAAGGAAGTTTCAAGTTTTGTTTCAGCTTTTCGAAAGGTGATATAAATTCAAAATAAATTTCAAAAGTGGTGAAAATGATTTTATCGGCTTATACTATCAGGTATGTCGGTTTAATTGATCTTTAGGGGAAGTTACCGGGCACTTTGAAAATTTTGTGACTCTAGCTTAAAAATTGCTACATTTCAGATTTTTAGGGAGGAATACCTTGGAAATTTATGTGTCGATCCTTCATAGGGGACACCAGCAATCGTCGCTTTAAGTGCGGTGACTCCATCTATTAAAATTGTGGTTTTATCGATTTTGTCGAATTTGAAGTACCCTGTGGACGTAGCACCTTCAATTTCAGCACTTTGTCTGACACTGGAACTAAGAAGCCTATGACTCAAGTTTAAAGACTCTAGACGGAAATTGCACAAAACCAATATACTAATTCAGCTTCGTTGCCAGAGTATAAAAACAAGCAGGTAACCTAAAGCCATCTGAATGCACACTCGACATATGCAACCAATGAACACCCTGCGTTCGAACTCTACCCTCCGCCAAACAATTTCCTGTGTTATTCACACAGGAAGCTCGTCCAGCGACAAAATCAAAATCTCTCACATTTACCGAACACAACATTTTCGGGGTAGCCCCCGCTCAGCTGCTGCTGCTACTGCTCCTGTTCCTGGCCAGTTTTGAATCCCATGACGGTGCTTTGGCAGCGTTGAGCTTGGCCCTTTGCTTGACATCGCTCTGACAGTTGACAAATGCGACACAATTTGGCCTGGAGAGCCAGAAGTTTTGGTCAGCTGTAAGACTGTAAGAGTTAATTCCCAGCCGGGAAATTTATTAATAGGCCGCGGAACCCCAAGTGTCAAATGACTGTAGTAAAACAAATTGAAAACATTGAAAAAGTCAAAACAAAAAAATGCTGCAAATACACCTCAACTTTTAGTTTTAATTAAAACTGAAAGTTGAAGTGTATTGCAGCATTTTGTTTTGTCTTGACTTTTTTAAAACTTTTCACTTTGTTTCACAATTGTTTTAATTTCCTGTTATTATCCGTATCTTTTTCAAATTAATGTTTTATAACATTTCAACAGTTTGATTAATGTTTAAAATATAAATGCTATTGAAAAAAATAGACTAAAACTCGAAATGTTTTGTTTGGTTATTATTAATTATATTTTCGCAGCTTTGAAACCTAAATAGAATATTCGAAATACATGGTATTACATTTTAAAATATAAGTATATTATATTATGCAAGATTTATGCTGTAAATGGCGTGGAAAAAATTAAGAGTTAAACGCAGTTTCTGATTATGGATTATCTTTATTATAAGCGAGTGCGTCTTTACTTGTTGAAGAATTGAGAGCAACTTTTTGAACTTAGGAAAAATACAACGCAGAAGGAAAGAAAGACAATTCATGTGTGACCAGATCTTCGATACTAATCGATATAGCGATATTAAGTATTAATCGTTGCTGCGATATTCAAACATATTTCAACAATTTAAAACAGAGTATTCGAAAAGAATTGTAATATGTTTACAATAATTTAGTATTCTGAAATATTTTTGCAGGATAATTTATACATTTAATATGTGTTGTCTGAAAAATGTCATTACATATGCCTGAAAAGAAAAAGATATCAACACGATGGCTCATTCCTCAAGTTGCTTACCAACTTTTTAGATACGTGTGTATCTTTTGGATTGCTATCTTTGCCAGCCATTCTAACTGTTTTACGTTACGCATACGACCCCCTCGACTTATGGCCACAACATGTGGCCACAACTTGCGCTGAGTGGAGCAGAGACACAGAACTTAGGGAGCGAGGATTCGGGACTCTAGCTGGCAATATGCCTGCCAATTGCACGCACTTTTGTCGTTCAATTTACTTGGTATTGCCACAGCCAGAGCCACAGCCAGGGGCAATGGCAATGGCAATGGCAATGGTAATGGCAATGAGAATAGCATTGGCATTGGCATTGGAATTTTTTGTGCCCTAAGTGGCTCAGTTGAGTTGGCTTTGTCGTGGCAGGGCCATGTTGCACGTTGGTTTGTTTGTAGGCTTGCAATAATTTGGTCTATTTGTTGCCTGGCATTGAGTTTATTGAATTTGCCATTTGCATGTTATACGAGCTTCGAGCATGTAAAGACAGCAGTACCCTCACCTCTCCCCTCTCCCCAAGTGCCTACTTATGCCACCCGCTGAGGTGCGGGGTGAATTTTTTTTGTCTATGTCGCTGCTGGAAGCTATTCAATTATCCGGTAGTAAATTTGGCAAATGAAGTTGTTTATTGCGCACAATGTTATGCCAATTGAGTTTGCTGCCTACACCATACAAAATTACAAGCCGTGTTGCAACTTACCCAATCACTCCACCCTAACTTGGCTCTCTTTTTGGGTGTAGAGTGGCAGGTGTGCGTGGCTTGAAATTTAATTTCACAGCCAATTAAAAATGTTACACAGTGCATATGATGAATTTGAAGCTGGCTGCCATCAGCTGCGGCTTTTGTGACTCACGTGCGCTACTTGGTAGCTTAATTGTCGGCACACTCCCTATACCCCTACCTACCCTACCCTACCCCTCTCTAGTTCTCTCAGCTTTCACCGAGAGTTGGTAAATGTACGTATTTGAATACCGTTGACAGCTCAGTTCAATTTGATTTATGCTCGGGCCAAAACAAAACAACAATGGCAACAAATTAAGAAAGAACAGCTATTGTTGGCCCGCCGAAGAGTACATGCCCTTGCAGGTCACTTGCAGTCACAGGGACTAACAGACAAACGTACGAAGCTATGGAAGCTGATAACGAATATAAAGTATATAGATATCTGACACACTGAGTTTCACGTTACGCTACACGAGTGTAATACCCTCTTCAAGGGCATAGAAAGGCGCACAGAATGGGTCAAAACGAAGCCTCAGCAATGTGCAGAAGAAAATTAATTATGCACATTAACTTTTGTCGCCTAATGTGGCATTCGGCAAGTTGCACACTTCGTCCTGATCAGCATAATCAAAAGCTGAGCCAACCCAAATGCCCAGTCGCTTAGTGTGAGCCCGGATCCTTCAGGTTTCTGTTCGTTAAGTGAACGAATGGCATTGAAAAATAGACGAGGCCGCAGCAAAAGCCGCTTAATTAGTGCGTAATTTGTAAGTCTACGCGCAGCAAAAAAGAAAATTACAAAAAATACCAACAACAGAAAATATATAAAAATAAAACAAGTAAGAATACTGCAGCCGTGTGAGCTCGACCACGAGATACCCTCAACTTATCTGTTAAATATATTATTTACGTTTCATTGACATATTTACCCTTAAAATGATTTGAAGTTTTTGTAAGAATGAGTGGAATCGTTCTCATTTCTTACAACAGCAACAGGTACTGAGGGTTAAAAAAACAAAGTCTCATTTATTTATTGTATATATCAGGGGCGTATCACACGCTGCCCGTTTCTCACACATGCTTGCGTCTGCTAAATAGTAATGGGATCAAAATGAGAATTTGGGTTTTGAGATGCTTCCTTCTGCCTATTATATAGTTTTGCACAAAACCATCATACCGCTTTTACCCATTTTTAATGGATTCAGGGTATAAAAAACAGAACACAAAGCAAGAATAGCAAGAAACAAAAGAAAATCAAAAAAGTTTCCCGGGACCATATCTGAAACAATGAGAGGTAAATATTAATTACTAAAATGACAAGCTTCAGACACGTCCACGGCGAATTGATGGCTAAGAGAGACATAGAGATATAGACAGCGAAATAGAATTTGAGAGAAAGAGAGAGAGAGAGAGAGAGAGAGAGAGACAGAGACGGCAACAGTGCTATCCAAAACTATTTTCGTATGTAACATATGTATGTGCTTAATAGTAATCTTAACTAATACTTAAATGCCTCACACTCAAAACGAAAACATTAAAAAAAGAGCAGCTGCTCTTCGTCCTTTTCTGTTGTGCCTTGTTTTTCTTACTGTTATTGTGCATACAAATTTGTTTATTTTTAATTTCTGACACCGCTTTGAAAGCACATTTTTTTCACATTTATCATACACTTGATTGCCCAAAAAACCGAAAGCAACTCGGCACAAGACGTATTATTTGCATTATTTCGTCTCGTTTTCGTTTGTTTAGGTTAGCCACGGATGCTGACCAGTCAGCCAACCCCAATCCAAAACACCCCCACACACCACAATCCCTGTAACACCAACTCGAATTTTTGAAGGCATCACAGGTGTCAATTAGTGGCAACCATAGGCTTTAGCTGGGGATAAGCAAACAGCGAAAAGCTGCCTCATTCAATATGTGCACAAAAAAATAAAAATAATGCATAAAACAATAATAGTGTAAAATTTATATTCAAGTCGAATACATTTTTTATTACCTAAACAAAGAGAACATTTTCAATTGCATTGAATATTGAATCACAACAGAACGTGAAATGCTTACATTATAAAATATTTATTTTATAATTTCAAATAAGTCAGTTAATGTAGGAAATGGCTGTGCGAAAGTTTTTTGTTGAGTGTACTTTCATTTGGGATGAACTCAAATTTTTTGCTTTACTTGCTTATTTTCGGCTGCATGTAGCACTTTTTGTGGCTGCTGGACGCACACTCGAAAGTTGAATTATGCGGCAGTTGCTCGCAGCTCTCGTGTTGCATATCTGCACGCTGTTTAACATCCCTTAAGGTACTTTTTGTTAAATGCCATGAATATATTTTGCGCAGCGTTCGCCATTGAAATGTTAATTAATGCACTTGCTGGTTACCTTGCTGCCACATGACAGCTGCAGCTGCCACAATGTTCTTCATGTCCTTAGGCAGAAGTCCAGACCTTAAGGTGGAATTATTAGTTGATGTGACGCAAAGTGCTGAGTTTTTAATTTAAATTATATTTTCAGGTATTCGAAATATTATTTTATTTGCTGGGTATTTTAATGGTTGTGTATGCTTGTCACTTTTTTTGACGTCACTTTAACAAGCGACTCGCTAACGGCAACCGCGCAATTACACTTCAAACGCTTTAAATTTTAAGTGCTGCCCCCGAGTTACTGCCGCCTAGATGCTGCTTCAACTATGAGTCACCTGTTGGCAATGATGCTACTGCTCCAGAGCACTGCGCACAACTCGCCTTCACATTCCCATTTACATTCGCATCCATTTTGGCGTCCATTGTTGGCTAATTGGGCGCACTATGTGCAAGCTGAGCACTGTTAAGGGTTTCAAGTAGCATATTTTTATTCCACCCTTGCAGAGAGTGTTAAAGTATTGTCATAAAATGTGTACAAGCAGTAGTTTTTCAAGATATTCCAATGGAGTCTCTCAGCTACATTTTAAAATTGAATATACTTAATCTATTTTTTAAATTGAATTTGATATATTTTAGAGAGATGGAACGAGTCCGACTATGAACATTTAATTATTAACTACGAAGCTAATTTATCGCTCAGTGCAGGATATAATATAGTCGAATACTTTACGACTACGCCAACTTGACACTGATGAGTATTGGTTTGGGCACTGAATTGAGGACCGTTTGCCCGCGGGCCCAAAAATAAATCAAAATTTGGCATATTAATTTCATAGCTCAGCACTTTGAGTGCTCATTTTTATGGCTAGCTAAAGTTAAGTGGGGGTATAAGCGACTACTAATCGTGTTTGCGACCTTTCTGAGTCAAGATTGTCAAATTATCAGAACAAGGTAGATAACGAGTCGAGTTTTTTTATTGTTATCAGCGTCAAACTTTTTTGACAGTTATCAAATTCAAGACTTTTTTTATGCCTATTTTGTTATAATTATTTCAGACAAATTTAGTGGGAATGGCTTTGTTATCGGTCGCCTTTTTCTGTTCATTTTAGTGAAATGAGACATTGATATTTTATTTCTATGATAAAATGCTGTCAAATTCACTAAAATAATTGAGTTATTTCAAATTTCACTGGCCAACATTCAATTTGTAAATGAAAAATTGCCAATATTTCCAGAGAGAGCTTTTGCAGTCTATGTTGAAGAATGAAAATAATCTGAACGGCTGCTTGTTGACTTAATGCCGATGCGAACTTCAACATAGGGATAAAAATAATAATTGTGGCCGCCAGCGCCAATGGACGCTGTTTCCGGCTTTCTCAGTTTGTTTTTGCTTGAGCTCTTGCTTCGGTGCTTTTCTTTTCGATGGCTTTTCGCATACTTTTGTATTTGTACACTGCAAGTTGTGCTGTGTAATTTTAATTTTCCAACGTCAACGTTACGCCTCAGGCAACTCAGCTACGCGTTGGGGTCGGGGTGGGCGGGCAGTGGGGTGTACAGAAGTGATGGCCTGCTTTATTGCAAGTAGTGGCAAATAGATGGGTCGTCCAGACTCTCTGCTCAAGAACTTTGATGGACGTATGCCCCGACCGTTATTTATTGCTCATATTTCATGTTTGCCACATTTTTTCCATTTTCTCATTTTCGCTATTGCAAACGAAGGAGAAAATACCACAAAAAAGAAGGGAAATCTGAAGTTTTTATTAAAAACGAAACACGTTGCTTTCATTGCTGCTGTTAATCCAACTGGCGATATAAGCAGTTTAAGTATGCTTGGCCATTACACAGTTTTCAATTATTTTGGTTAGCCCTTAAGCAGCAGCTAACCAAACATAAAGACCACTGCACAAAGCGCTCTTGACACATTGTGGCAATTTTAACGAGGTGTGTGAACTGTCAGTGTCAGTGTTAGTGTCACAGCCAGTGCAAGCTAAACAGGTGTCCAGCTTCTGCTAACGAGCATCCTTCTACTGGACGGCACTAACTGTTGCTGGCTGAATGCAACAATTAAATTGCATTAAGTAAATCACATACACACTGGTAGACAGCTCGATTTCCTTTTTAATCCAGTTGAAATGTGCGACTAATCTTACTGTCAATGTCAGCAGTCCTACAAATAAATTTGTATTACTGATTTATTAGTTCTCATTTACAACACAGGCATTAATCGCTTATGTGATTTGTTAAAATAAACTAAACTACTTTGTTTGTCTTTCAGTTTCATTCACTTCAGACCACATCACAAAGTTTTTGTGTCTAGCCAAAGCTAATAGTGAAGGAAAATATCTAGAACTAAAATTTCTTATGAGGTTGCAACTCATCATAAATGCAGCAAACGGTTAAGCGTATTTATTTTAAGACATTCGTTGTATGTTAACTTTATTGGTTGAAGGAAACTAAAAGACAAAGTTTTCGTCTCTAGTATAAACAAATACTCAAAAAAAAAACACGTTTTATAATGTAATTTACAGTTAAACAAGCTCAGAGATTTCTCGAAGCTATTTTAGTATTGAAAATTTGATTAAAGCTGGAGAGAGTTCCATAAAGAATATGCGAAATAAGGTCAAAGATTAACATTTTTACAGTCGATGTATTTAAAAATACTGTCTTTAATGAGCTTGCAAAAAAAACTCGATTTGCTTTGCTTTATAAATATATTATTGTTTAAAGAAAGTGTACACTCCAATAATATTCAAGCTCTAATAGAATACTCGACTACGATCCCAATGAGACCAACAAGGTTTGTAAGCTGGAATCATAAGAAGGCGGTTGCTTGCTTTCGGTAACCGTTTGTATGGTTAATTCGGTATAGTCTTTATATATGATATTCATCAAGTACGCAACACCAGCTGTAATTTATAGCTTCAATTATTATCAGGCATTTCATGAGAATTTCACTGACTCACCTGCAGCTGGCAAAGGCAGAAATAAGGCAGTTAAATACCATATAGAATATCGGAAGTCGAATTCGCTTAACAGGTCAACAGCCATATAGAATAAGGCAGTGAGGAACACTGCTGTCAAACTTAACCAGAACAGCAAAAATTTTGCCTTATGCTGTGGATTTGCCCGCACAACACCAAAGATCAGAGCTACTGTGGCCGTCAACTGAGTTGCTCTCACAAAAGCCAAACAATCAAAAAAGCGATCTGAAAGAAAACTTTTTATATTGAAGAAAATATATATATTTTAATGTGCATACAGCGATATTTTAGAACAGTCGTAGCTAGGGCCAGAGCCATAACTGCGAGTCCAATTGACACTTGTGTATTTCGCTTGCTTAGGAACATTTCACCCGAAAGGCTTTGCAACAACTAAATACTAAATTCAAGCATCGCAAGGTGAGGTGCTAATATGGCAATAATAGTCAGTTATTAAATGGAAGAGTGATACGCTAGAAAATACCCTGTAATCATATCTAAGCATACGATATCTGTAATACTTTTTTTTTTTGGTGTCAGTAATTTTACTGTTTGTTAAAGTTGGAGAGGTCTATTTCTGCACAAGTTCAGGGTATTATCAAAAATAATCAGTTATCAGTGATTTATTCTATGTAATCACTGACAATTTTCGATAACACAGTTTATCTACTTGATACATAACAGCAACACATGAAGTAAGAATGCTTTGGACTGAAAGATACCCTAGCACTAAACAAATACATCCCAAATTTGGAATTGCCTCTGTTATTAGAATTTCGGGCAAAAGTTAACTATGTAAATAAACAATTTGGAAGAATACGAATGCATTGCTAACATTGCTCGGTGGCTAGCCTCCAAAACATAGACACCTCTCTTATGCTGTCTCTCCTTCTCTCTTGGTCTCGCCCTTGCTTTCGCTCTCTTTTTCTTTCTCATTTAAATTATTTGTTTGCCTTCCATTTCATTGCATACACATTTTCCAGCAAATAAACAACATTTTATTCACACGTTTGTATACATATTTATAATTGCAAGCATTGAATTGAATATTTAAGCGTTTGGTGAATATTTTGGATGCGTAATTAGTACTGTTACTTGACCATTCAATTTGGAGGGTTCTTCTTTGATCGGCTCAGCCTCATCTGTTTGGGGAACTTTTCCCTGTGTTAACTCCACATATTGATCATACATCATAATGAATATGTAGCTGAAGACAGCTGAAAAGGTTTAATAAATGTTTTCTGGGCTTGATATGTTATAATGTGCGTGCAATATAATACTCACCAGAAACTGACCATGTGAATGTGATCACCAATAGCGCATTCCAGATCCAATTACTCCAGAGATGATATGTGTCAAAAAATTCAAGGATTCCATAAATCCATGTAGTGAAAATTAATACTGCTGTGGACAACAGCCAGAAGAGCATGAGGTTGGCCTTATGCTGCTGATGCGCCTTCAGGACACCAAAGACCAGTACTACAGTTGCCACAAGCTGCAGTACGTGTACTCTATCCAGATTATCGGTCCTAGCTGTAAATCCACAGGAATATCACAATGGCTAGATATACGTTTAATAAATAATCAATTTTCTAGTCACATTGAAATGGCAGCACTCTTGTAGCCAGCGCCAGTCCCATGACTAAGAGGCAAATTGAAATTTGCGGTTTTCGAGCGTTCAACAACATTTTACCAAAACGATTCCAGACATACTGATTCCAAAATACTTTGCTACTTGGGGCTTCTGTATTTTTCAGCTTTTGCGTTGCGCGTATTTATGGAGAATTCCAGAGACATTTCATTTTCATGATTGCCGAATGTAAACAAAAGCTAACGTATAAAGTGCTTTATGAAAGTGTATTATTGCTTACTCTTTATTCCTATATGTAAGGAGGAGTGAAAGTGACATTAAAGTGTAGCTTGCATACAAAATAAATATTTAAGCGGCTGCCGTCTGTGAGCGAGTGACATTTTGGTGATCGTGCACTTTGACACTCTTTGGGTGGTGAAATAATTGATAATATAAATAAAGGCGTATTAATCGAACACGAGTCGTAAAAGAGCAGCCGAACAAGGGAGTCGACTTTTTGAAGCGCCGCGTTAAGGTTGTCTGTAAAAACTGGACATAATTAGTCCGACATACGTCTGTATTTTTATATTATTCTGATAGTTGTTCATATTATGTAAATTCAGCTGAGTATAAACTGTAAATAATTTTTTAAAATGATTAAGCCACGCCAAAGGTAACATACTCAATAAAATTTTCGGAATTGCACCATATATGTAAAGAACAAACTAATTATTCCTTTGAAAGCTATGGTTAAAAAGTTTTTCATCATTCGCAGGATCGTTTTATATATCGCATGTCAAGTTTAATAAAGATAACATCAAAGCTTACATAAAAGCAGGCAAATAGACGGACTATATCAACTCGGCTTGTGATGTTCAAGAATGACCAAGAATATATACGAGGGTATGAAAAGAGGAATAGACTGCGTTATGCAACTCATTGTAGTTGTTTCTGTTTAATAGATTCTTTAAGCAAGCATTTCTAATAGCATGTTCTCTATATTTCACCAACTGAAACCGTAACCAATTTTTATGGAAATATATCAGTCATCAGATAAAAACTTCATCAATTGAATCTAATCAATAAATAACAAACTATGCAAGTGAACTACTCGAAAGTTTTCCATTTGCTATGGCTTCTCTGTTCAATGTACTGCTCTGCAAACTGACGCACACTCACACACACACATATATATGCAAATGAACCATTGTTGCCCAGCTTACGCAACAGTCTTAGCTGCAAAATCAACATCATCAATGACGCTTCCCTTGGGATCAGCAATGAGCATGCAGTATCCTTGGGGGTGCTGAAAAGGTTAGGGTAGAGGTGGGAGGTTATGCATTGCAGGAGCACATTATATGGCACATTTGCTCATCAGCATGCAACAACTTTTCGTAATTGAATGTCATATGACTTACGTTATGTTAGTTTGCTGCCTTTCGCCTTCAGGCTGAACCCAATGTTGTCAAGCTGATGTTTCTCCTGCTGCCATGTCGACTTAGTCACGTGTGAAATTAATTTGTAATGTCTAGCAGCAGCGATTGCATTTGCATTGCTCACACGTGCAAAATGAAAATAGTCGACGATGTCGACGAAACAGTTCATTCTCTGGCAGATTGACCCAAGTGCCAATCCGTCTTGCCCAGTTTGAGTCATGATCTGAGTTCGTCCACTTGCCAAAAACTTTTGCTCGAAAACTCTACAGCTGTGGCATTGCGAACAAAACTCTCATAAGTTGGCGCTGACTACCGCATTGAACGCGACCTGTCTTAAGTTATACGTTCTTAGCCAAGTTGCAAGAATGCCAGCGGCAAATGCCTTCTCTCCCACACGCTTTGCTTGTTCTGCTTAACCTGGCTGTGTTTCCAACTTTTGGCCAACTTAATTTTGTAAATTGTTCACAAATTCAGCGAATTGCAATTACCTTGTGATTTTGTGCGAAGTGTCGCAAAGTTTTGGCATTGCAAAAGCGATTTGAGTTCAGAGTTGCAGTTGCAGTTGCATGAAAACTGTAACGAACTTAAATTGCAATGCAATTCATTTCCGACTTTGCTTCGACAAACCTCGACTCAGCCGTGGGCAATGTGAATAGAAAGAAAACAACAACCAGTTTCCAGTTTTATTTGAAATTGAAGTCGCTGAAGTCTTCTCAAGAAACGAGCAAAAAGCAGCCATAAGAAATGAGCCAGAAGAACTGAAGTAAACGTAAGCGGGCTGCAACTCAAAAGCAACAGGTTAAATTGGCACAATCTGTGCACCGCACGCTGTGGCAACAGCTTCAGTCTTTTCAAGGACACGACTAAAAGAACAGACAACGAAAAAGAGGAGGAAGTGGAAGAGGAAGAGGAGAACTGGAGCTCGAATCCGAGTCGGGTGACACAAATTGCTGCAAACACCTTGGCAGGCTGAGCAGGCAGCGCAAAAAATTGGAACTGAGTAGACATCTTAAAGCGCAAAAAGCAACAACAACAAAATCAAATGGGCTGGTTGGCGTTTTCGTTGGTTTCGGATGGGGTTGGTGATGGGCTGGCTGGGCATGTTGGCCACGTTCCATGTCTACTTAAAAGTTTTTACAAAGCACTGCTTATGGCACGCGCTGGCAGTGGGTGTTGGTTAGCTTCCAAGCAAGCAAAGCGTATTAAAATACAAAGCAGCATCATTAAATGTTAAAAGTCGCCTTTGGGCGAAATGGCACAACGGAAAGTAACACAAAAAAAGAGAAGAAAAACTAAAGACAAAAAAGAAACAACAACGAGAAGTGCCCGGAAAAAAACTACTTAAAACAACTACAACTATAACTGCAACAACGTCAGCAACATCAGCGACAGCAAACGCGCAAGGACAATGCACAGAAAGGAAATTGCGCAGGCATCAAGCGCATTGCTCAGGTGAGTTAAAAACCAAACCAAAAACACTACCACCCCTCTTCCCCCCAGCACCAAACTCAGCAAAAAGCTAGCTGTTAATAATGATTATAATTGAAAATGTGCAAAGGTAAATGTGTAGTTCAAATAACACTTTACAAAAATAGATGCTACCTTTCATTCAGACAGATATTTAATTGTCCGATATCGGTCGCACCCGACTGCGGAAAACTTTGATACCATAAGTTATTTCAGCATATAACAAGTAACAAAAAACAGGGTGGTGTGGCACAGAAGTACTGTTCGATTTGCGGTAGATATAAGCTAGTAAAGTTCCTTTGGTAACTATAGCTCTTAAATGCCGGGAGATATGCGATTTTGGAAATTTTGGGAGCGGAAGTGGGCTTGGTCAAAAAAATTATTAGGGAATGTATCTAGTAATCTTCCTTCCAAGTTTGGTTGTGGCACATGCCGATCTTTGAAGAACATCGTCAACAACCTTCAAGTCACTATCTTTAAGGGTGTGAAAAAAAGTTGGTTTCATACAGGCTGACAGACAAACATACAGAATGACGGACATTGCACAATATCAATAAAATACCTTTGGTAGAGGTTAATAACCCACAAGTAATTTATAAAATGTATTCAACGACTTAATATGTAAGCCAAATTTCGAAATTATTCGAAGCTTGAGTATTCTTAAAATGACTTGCTCAAAATATAGTACCTTATTATAAGTGTAGTACCTAATTTATAAGTGTTCTTCTTTGTGCTGTTGTTTAGTAATTTCTTCTTAAATTTTGGGGCACTTAGATTTCGCCAAGTGCAACTACAAAGTAGAGACCGAAGTTGAAGCCGCAGCAGTCATACAGCAAACATTGCTTATACGCCGCATGTGCCGCAGCTAGTTCGAGTTAGATAACAGTACTAAATCCGTTGGCATTGTCTTTTCCAATTATTACCGTTAATGCAGACATAAAACAGCAACTACAATTAAATGGAAATGCATGTGGTTCAGGTGGTATACCCCAAAAGCATTTTTGGGCGCATGCCAGCTGTCAAGCAAAAACCGCACTTCAAGCTATTGTCGGGACTCGAGGCCACTTGCAACAGCAGCAGCACTTCGATAAGTTTTTGGGGCATGGGGTTGACTAAATGAGGCGCTTGGCAATTAACAGCGTCCACAAGTGCCACAGCAGCCAGGCGAATGAGCATAATTTCGACAAGTTTGTCAGCTGCCACAAATTGTTGACGAATTTGCGCAGCAATCGCGGAGTCGACTATTGTTCGCGCTTGAAAGCGAATACGAGGCACGTGCAACGTTGCATATAAAAAGGCGACAAGCTCCACTCTGGCAGCCAGCTCAGCCGCTATATAATACGATTTTGGTGACCTGGCAGGTTAAGCTCGCACCGTCTTTGTTCCCGCTAACTACCCACAACAGGAGCAACAACAATGGCAACCGCGGCAGCAACAGCAACATCCACACACATATATTGCAAACATAGCCTCATTCCAGGGCTAACTTGGCTGGGACGACAATGATGACAAGTGGATTTATGCTGCAAAGCAGATGTATCATAAAATATATATATTACTCAAAGCCACGGACAGTCTGTATCTGACTCTTAGTCAGAGTCGGCTTGGGGGTGATGCGAGGAAGGAGCCGCTGTTCTGGGAAAGTGTTCAGTATGTTACATACAAAAGAAATAAAATTTCAATTTTATAACTAAGGTATGGGGAACGAATACTTTTAATTGTATTAGTTTGAAATCAGCTAAACTTGTCTAACGCATCCATTACACTTAAATCAAATGGATTTTTATTGCATTTGCGTGTCTTTAATTTGCCTCAAATAGTTATTAAAAAGCAAATAAGACTGATGTAGTCGAGTGAGCTCGAGTAAGATTTACCCTGAACCCAGCTGTTAAATATTTTCTAAAACTATTGGCAAATATCCCTATAATAAGTTTTGCACCCGAATGTGAGCAGGAAGCAAGCTCAGGCACTGAAGAGTCAAAAAACCGAGCAGCGCATGTTTTTATTCATAAGCCCAACAAACACGTGCATATAGTTAAATGCTTGCGGCTGCTGATGGAAATGAGATCCGATCTTGATGAAATTTGGTAAGATGATCAATAAAATGCATATGCATATTATATATTAATTAGAAGATCCTGCCTTTAAAATTGTAGCATTTATTGCTATCGGAAATTTAAATGTATCGATAATCGAAAAACGGAGGCAGTTATCGATAAAATACAGCAAATTTGATCTGCGCCTGGTGGGCGAGAGTCTCTAGCTCTTATACTCTCTGAGATCTGCATGTTCATACAGACGGACGGACGTACGGACGGACGGACGGACAAACGGACAGACGAAGATGGCTATATCGACTCGCTTGTTGACCATAATCAAGAATATATATACTTTATGGGTTCGGAGATACTTGCTTCTGCCTGTTACATACATTTGCACAAAACCATTGTACCCTTTTTACCCATTTTTAATGGGTGCAGGGTATAAGAAAGCCAAAATTAGCTTCCCGATTAAAAAAAAAAAGCTTAAGACAAAACTAATTCTTGCGCGCACATAGTTTAGATCGATTCCATTACTCGACATGAATTAATTAATAAATGCTATATGCCTTAAGTAGAGTACGAGCTATATATCTATGCCTGTTTTACAGGGCATATTTGAGTCGCTACTGAATTTTGCTTTGGCTTTTGCATATATTCATTTTTATTGCTTAGATTTTCATGTTTGAGTTGGCTTTCGGTTAATTTGAATTCAATGCAGCTGGTAAATATTAATAGGCACTAAAAAATGGCTTCATTGCTCATAAATTGGAAAATTAAATTTTCATTTCACTCATTTTAATTATGTTGACTTTGTTTTATGGCATATAGAAGATTCCAGAATATGTATGCGAGCAAATACATATGTACATATGTATGTATACGTATGTGTAAAGACATTTTATAGCAAATTAAATTTTATTAGCGCACAATGTGCGTTGGCATTCCCTTTCCCGGATTACGTGTTTCAGCTCAAGTCGATTATGGCAAGGTGTACAACTTTTAGCTATTGTGCAGCAGCATTGGGCTGGACAGGTTGGTTGGGTGTTTGGTTTGGGTTCTGTCGCTTCGAGTAGTTGTCATTGTTATTGTCCTTATCAACGACGACAGCAAAAAAAGTTTTGCAAAACATCTTACAAGTGCCAAGACATACGTACCAACAAGACAACTCTATGCCAGCATCAGGTAGACTCTTTATGTGTATGTGTGTGTGAGTGTGCGCAGGTGTGTGTGTGTGTGTGTGGTTTGTAGTATGTGTAACCTTTTACTGTTCTTGCTACTGCTGCTACAGCCGGCATTATGATGAGTTTTGCTTTTGCCAGACTCTAAGGCTAAACTCGTAAATACCTTCATTATCGTTAAATCATGCTGAGAGCTTGAACTCGTACCCCACATGAACTCAACTGAATACAACTGAACCGAACCAAACCTAACCTAACTGAATAGAACACAGTTTGTGCCTTGCCTTTTATTTGCCCTTTATTTTGCAACTGAAGAAGGAGCGGTTCTGTCTCTTCGGCTTTGTGCCCGGCTCATGTGGACTTTTAAATAGATTTAAATGCGCATTTAAATGAAATAAATGAACAGCATTTCGTGGGCCTTTCCCTAACTTATTTGAATGGCAGCTGATATATGTATGTTTAACTCGTAACATCACACTTCCTTCACCTACTGTTATTTGCCCAGAAAAGGCTCCCTTTACCGCTGCACCAGCTCATTTGTCAGACCGACTGGCAGAGAGACAGAAGGTTTCTCTGTTTGGCTCCCCAATGTGCTGCGGCTTTTATCCGACTTTCTTTCAGTGTTTGACTTGCCGTCGCGCACCTTTTGATTCATGAGTAACTGAAAATTGTGATAAGATTTTCGCTAATGGTAAAAGTTTTCCTCAATTTTTACCATCACGCCTAATAAACTAGCAAATTAATATACAATCGAGGTGCACCGAAGAAAAGCAGTAAATGACGAAAATAACTCATACAAGTACTCAGGGAAAATCGGACCGACTAGGTGATATCCTGTTACAAAATGTAGTTATGACAAAAAAATGTGTTCCGAATTTTTATTTTTTCTATGCCAATTAAGGATTAACGATTATTCCAGAAGATCAAAGCGTATTATAGGCTCTTTAATATGGTCATATTTAACGCCCTGACTGCCTTTTAAAAATCTAAAACAAAAAACGTTGCACGAAGAGATAAAAGAGAAAGGACAAATTTGATTTTTTTTTTTTTTACAGAAGTTACGAATCCTTTTGCATTTGTTTTAATTTACTCAACTATCTCTTCTAAAACATTTTGTAGAGCATCAAGACTTGATCAAAGTTGTTGTGGTATGTAATACATACCATTTAACCGCGCCCACTTCCATGATTTAATGAGGTGCGCCAAAATGTCTAGCAGTATGGGTGTTATTTATAGGCTTTGTATGCTTCATTCACACGAAAAGAAAATTTTGGCACCATAAAAATGCAATTAGATGAAATTTATTATGATTTTCGCAGGCCTGTTAATTACAAATATTCATAAATTACGCATTCCAATGAAGACACGGACGCTGCCAAAATTCGTGTAATGACTTATGCGAGATACACACACACACACAAATGCTCTCAGCTGTGCGTGTAAGTGTGTAAGTATGTGTGTTGGAGGAAAACAAATTTTAATTAAAAACTCAATTCGCTAAAAAGTTGCGGACAACTTTTGCTGCTGCCTGTATGAAACTTAAAAACTTGTGTCTCTCACGATATTTGTGAAAGCCTATCCTGCACCTGTTAATGTTGTAGGCAGCCAATTTATGAACTTAGCTATCTTAATGTAAAAGAAATTGCCATTAAAACCCTAAAAGACAAAAGTTCACTATGTACAAATAACAAAGTTCAGCCTTGAATGAATGTGTAAACAATGTGCCATGCATTTATTTTTCTCTATGAACTTTTCATAGTTCTGGCGTCAACGAAAAAGCCAACGTCTGTGAGACCAATTGGATTTCTTATGGATGCAACTTGTGAGTTATTGGTCAAGCGAGATGTCAAAAGGTTATTATTACCCAGCTAAAGCCCTTAAGCATGATCTTAAGGACAGCAAAAAAATTAACTATAATCACGTGTGTTAATTAAACACACAAAACACCAGTAAATAAAATAAGCAAACTAGCAGCAACTGCGTAGGATGTGTGTACATATGTTAATCCAATTTACACTTTGTAGATTGTGATCGTGTTCTGTCCCATACTTCAGAAGGACATATGTCTTCTTTTCTCGCTGGTCATATCAATTCTTAATGGCCAATCTTTACTTTCTTAACTTTAAATACATTACAGACACGATATTTTGTTATGAGTTCTATGCATGATAGTTAGAGATAATTTGCTCATTGCCCAAGTAATTACTGATTGCAGCTAAAAATGAGTAATTATTTGCAAGCTGCCGTCGCTTACCTGACGAGTTGAGATAAAGCACCTCAACCCACCAACTCACGACAGAGCTGATAAAATGAGAGAGAGTGAGAGAGCAGCGAGAGATTGAGAGTTACCTGATAAATGATAGACTGAATAATAATATTTGAAAATATTTGCACCGACTTTCATCATTTCAGTTGACTTCAAACCGTTGAGTTAAAATGTTATTAAGCAAGCGCAATAAACTAATCGCAAGTGGCCCGAGTGCCATGGGCCTGGCACTGGCCACATTTGCAATACCCGACTATGAAGGTATTGAGCTAATGCAAAAATTATGATTCCAGTAAAGAATATATACATGTTTCTCACGTAGTGCGAGACTTAATGGACATTGTGCGAGCAGTGCAGCTGTTGGCAACTATTTTGTTGCTTTATGGTATTTACAAGAAGAATCCGCAGCATAAGGATAAGTTCCTTCTAATCTGGCTGGTCATAACAACGTTCTTCTTAGGCGTCCTCTGCTATTGTAATATCGTATATATTACCAATGATCTTTTCGATTTTTACGATTTTGGATATTTTTTCCTACTGCTCCTCGGATTTCTTGCTTTGCTGGCAGCTACAGGTAAATTGTTAATTACTATATTAATAAGCCAAAATGATTTTCAGTACTTGTGGTACGGCCAATAAGGAACATAAATAAAAAAAATATAATAATATCTTATCTTAATCTACTTTCATTGTAGCTCTTCTGGCCTATATGATGCATTGTGTATATGAAGAGTTTGAGGATTTAACAAATAGCAACGCAGTAACAACACATATGTCAATCGAAAACAATGGGATCGCGGAAACTAAGGCGCCACCGCCCTCATATGCGACCACTGGCAATTTTGTGGTCCCAATACATAATTGAGTGTCAATCGTTTCCATACATTTAATAAAGCTCACAATTTGAACATAAGACCTTATACGATACAAAAGAGAGAGAGAGAGAGAGAGAGAGAGAGAGAGAGAGAGAGAGAGAGAGAAAGAGAGAGGGATTTACCTGATAAATGATAAGCTGAATAATAATATTTGAAAATATTTGCACCGACTTTCATCATTTCAGTTGACTTCAAATCGTTGAGTTAAAATGTTATTAAGCAAGCGCAATAGACTAATCGCAAGTGGCCCGATTGCCATGGGCCTGGCACTGGCCACATTTGCAATACCCGACTATGAAGGTATTGAGCTAATGCAAAAATTATGATTCCAGTAAAGAATATATACATGTTTCTCACGTAGTGCGAGACTTAATGGACATTGTGCGAGCAGTGCAGCTGTTGGCAACTATTTTGTTGCTCTATGGTATTTACAAGAAGAATCCGCAGCATAAGGATAAGTTCCTTCTAATCTGGCTGGTCATAACAACGTTCTTCTTAGGCGTCCTCTGCTATTGTAATATCGTATATATTACCAATGATCTTTTTGATTTTTACGATTTTGGATCGTTTTTCTTACTGTTCCTCGGATTTCTTGTTTTGTTGGCAGCTACAGGTAAGTTGGTAATTGATAAATTAATAACCGCCGATGATAAGGAAAATAAATAAATAATAATATAATCTCCAACTATACATTCATTGCAGGGCTTCTGGCCTACATAATGTATTGTGTATACCAAGAGTTTGAGGAATTACCAAATAGCAGTTCAGTGTCAAATCCTGTGGCAAATGAAACCATTGGAATAGTGACCTCTACTGATCTGCCGCCTTCATATGCCACCACTGGCAATTTGGCAGTGTCAATACTGAATTGAGAGTTAATATTGTATTTACACTATATATAATCCACACATGCAATAAAGTGGCCAAATTGAACATATGAGATCACAGCAGTTTATAAGATAGCAAATATATATATATATAGAGAGAGAGAGAGAGAACATGAGTGCAATCGTATAAAAAGAATATCAGTATTAGATTATTGTTGAATTAGATTATATGTTGTTCGTACGTTCATCGATGGTTCAGTTATCTTTGAATGGTTGTGTTGAAATGAGTGTATTCAAGCAAGCTTTACAAATCGCCATTGGGCTTGTGGTTTTTGGACTGTCAATGGTTACAAATGTGTTACCTTGTGAGTAGTAAATAAATTGAAAGTGCGCCCAATTCAGAGATTATTTTTTTACAGGGGATTCGAGACTGGAGCTAATTCGCGTGCTCCAATTTACTGCAACTATTGTACTGCTTTTTGGCGTACTGCGAGCCCATCCACAGCATTTGGATAAGTTTATGCTTTTCTGGATGGTCATAACATCAGTTTGCTTTATAGCAATGCTCTATGCTGGATTATTGCACTTGTGCCACGGTCACTCGTCTCTTTACATCCTTTTACCTTGGTCAAGTGCAGGTGAGTTCTAAGCAGTACCAGAAATTGGCTTTTTAGACTTACGCAAATTATTGCAGCTTTTATGGCTCCGTTACTGAACGTAATATACAATCATTATGTGGATTTGACCGTTGGAGCTGAAGAAACAAATACTGAAGTCCTTCAGACTAAGCTGTCATCTTCGTATGAGGCAAAAGGTCCGTTAAATATGACTTAGACTATAATTTAATTTTGAATTCGGGAAGAGAAGTTCAGATTTAAATTGTCTAGATTAATTGCTAAGCGCATTATTCGTATGTGAACAGAAAATTAGTGAAATAAAGTTGCTGTACAACAGGCTGCGCCACATTGAATCACAGGCGGGCAAAGTTTATAGACAGAAGCCGGCAGAAGCAAACATACATACACACACAATACACACACACACATTCACACGATCAAATGGAGCACCAAAGTTTGGTGCAAAAACTAATTTGGATATTTGTGCCCCAAAAACTCAATGAAAAGTAACAAGAACGAATGCAACATTAGCTCGACTGCCACAAATTGTTGAAAGCCTGAAAGCACAGTAATGAAACTGTATTCGAAGCAATTGATTTGAGAACGCACATTTATATATTATATACACATATATAATTATGCGACTATTTGCCTAAGTTAAGAGGCAGACTGAGAGAATCGGCGGCTGCTAATTAGAGAGGCAAGTGGCAAGTAGCAAGTGGCATGCGGCAGCATCATCATCAACGCAACGCATTTCCCTTATGTGATTATTTTAATTAAAAACTGTCTGTTTCCATGCGGATGCCTGCCACTTGGCGCTTAAAACTTGCCCCAAAGTTTGTCCAACTTGTTGATGCTCCAATTTGCATTTCGTAAGCCCAAAGAGACAAAGTCAATGGCTCATAGCAAACAGCAGCCGATGTTGAACTTATGTTATCACATTAAATTTTGTACAAATGTGACAGAAAGCGAATTGCATAAATTACTCAATTCCAAAATTTAATTTGTACCCAGCATTTTTTTAATGCGCTCATTTGCAAACAAACCAACTGAATAACTTTTCTAATACACAACAAAACTCACAACAAACTGTAACAAAAACTCACAAAAAAAAAAAACTAGCCAATTTATCCCAGGAGTGCGAAAGATGATACGAAAAGAGACCCAAGTGAAATATTTTGAAAAGAAAAATGGACCCCTCAAACAACTCTGAAAATGTTCAGAATTATACTAAAATGTTATGGTTATAATTAAGTTTCCTTTGTTATTAAATATTTCTTAAAACCATTAAAAAAAATTAAACGAAATGAGCAAATATTTATTTTGATTCGTTTTTAAATACATTAAGAAGATTCGACATATTGATTATCTCTATTTACTCTCAAATAAGTGCGTCATTTATTATTTTGGGAGTATTGTACAAACAGTTTCATGTTCAACGATGATAAACATTTCGAAATATTTTGTATAAACATATCTAATCGTTAAGCGACTTATCGCTTATCGCAAGCACAACAAGAGCTTTTAATCACAAAAATGCTTTGACGAAATAATTGTACGAGTATATTATATATATTTACAATGCAGAAATTCAGCTAAAACTTGTCAAGGAATTGTTATTGCATGTACATACTGTAAATGTATTCTATAGATATATTTCTTCATAAATCTATATACAATTTAATATATAATTGTCGGATCACACAAAGTATATGAATATATTATTCATCAGTATCAAAATTCGAGTCGAATTAGCCATAACCATGTGTCCGTCTGCTTAAACCAGCCAATCTGACAGTCAATAGGGGCTACAGACTTATAGGCGTGGTATATAAGTTATCGGATACCATATGCAGGTCAGATTTATCACAATTTATCGATAATTGCATTATGTTTCGTGAATATCTATCAAATAACATTTTAGCTTGTTACAATAAATAAAAAAATATTCCATTAATAAATTGTAGATTCACTCACTCTCCCTCTCTATATCAGCCTCTCAGTTAATTTATCAATATTTGTGTCAATATGTTATCACTACTATTACATTTTGTTTCTTTCCCTCTCTTCCTCTTTCTATCTCTATCACTGTGCTTATCAATAATTTTTTTTTAAAACTATTTTATTGCCTTAATATTGTGCAATGAGACGGCGTCATTTGTAGCTGCTGGATGGGAATATGTCAAATCATTGAAACGAAATAAAACGTAATTTTTGGGGCAGAATTTGAGCACGTATTTATTTGGCTAAAGCAAAGCATAAAAAATTGTATTAAACTGGTATTAAAATGGGAGAATGGGAATGGTTCTGAGCGTGAGGCTGAGAATGAGATGACACAACGCAAGAACAACTTGAAATCGACACAGTAAAATGGCCATTAAAATAATAAGGAGGCCCCGATGGCCGACTGACTGGCCATCGGACTGACCAGCCTCGACTGGCTCCGTTCTCAGCTAATGGCCGGGCAATGATCACAATGTGTGTATGCTTAAATATGTCCAGCACGTGCCGTAGCCCAGCAATGAACTCAACTGGAGCGATTCGTGACCCGGGTCGAGCTTCGAGTACTTATGCAAATAATTTACATGGCTTGTGAGCCGTGCTTAGTGGTCAGCTCTCAGTTGGCCGAATAGGCGTCTCGTTTTGGCCAACCGCATAATGCTTGTTTTTGGGCTTACTGCCAACTTAAATGGGCTCAAGCATAACTGTAGCTGAACTTTAACTTTAATATAAGCGTCTGAGGCGGAAGCTGAATGTGATGCGACAGCTTCAGCATCCAAGCAAATTCATTATCTGTCAACTTCAACCCATTGACGAGTTACTCAAAATATGGCAAGCTGTTCATGTTTGTTTCGTTAGCCATTTCGGCCGATTGCCAACATTAATGATTGTCCTATCTACCACGAATCACTCGCAGCATTCAGTGCTGCTGCCAAGTGCGAGTTTTTAATTAACGACAACTTGACAATTGTGAATGTCATCCAGGAGTTGTAGAGAGTAGCTCGCTGCCTAGCATTCGACTTTGACATTTGCAATAAATTAGGTAGCAGACAGCTGACAGTTAATAGGTCAACAGTAACTTGGCCAAGACAGGCTAACACGCTAAGCAGCAGGAGCGCGATAATCTTAATTTATGCACAAGTCCCTTGTCCATTGGTCAGTGAAAAGAGCGGGGTCGAAGTGCGGGGTCTTGATTGAGGGGTTGCTTGCTTAGTATGTGTGTGTGTGTGTGTTGCTTGGCAATATTTGCAGTTGCCAAAATAAATATAAATTGCAAAAACTGTCAAAGTCAAAGGCAGTAAAAGGGGAATGCAATGAAAAGCATTCATTCCCTTCTTCTTCTTCTTCTTGTGCTGTGTGTGTTTTGGCACAATAAAGAAATTTTTATCGCTGCCGCATTTGACATTTGAAGTATGCGCTGCAAAATTTATTGTTGGCTTGTTTTGTTTGTTTCAAATATATGGAAAAAAAACCGATAAGCCCTGATGTAAAAAGCAAAAACTTTTCCCTTTTTTGCCTTGGAATTTCAATTTCAGTCCTGAGTTTAATACTCTATGTTCTCTCTGAGGCCATTGATTTTCCAGCTATTTAAAAAAAATAAATAAAAAAGAAAAGAAAATAAAATAAAACACTCAACAATTGACAAACAAGGGCAAAAACTGAGCTACGAGTATTTGCCAAGCACTTCGCGTAGTCCGGCCAGAAACCCAGAGCGGCCAGAGGGGCGGGTGAGTGATAAGGGGTGTGGGCCCATGTTACCTGTTGAAAAATAGTTTTCCCATACCAATTTTCTAAATGCACGCCAAACGTCAAAAAGCAACAAATGATGCCGCAGCGCGGCATTGGCCTGAGGGGAAATGCAAGACAAATACATCAGAGGAGCGGAAAGGAGAGGAGAGGAGATGGAAAAGTGAAATGACAGGAAGCAAAGCGACAGAACTGTCATTGATTGTCACACATTCTGAGCTAAGAGTAACCTTGTTGTTCCATCGATCTACCTCTCTCTCTCTCTGTCTCTCTCTCTCCAACTCTTTATACAACTCTGTCGACTGTGAAGTCTGTAATTGTGTGTTGCTGACAGCATTCAGCTTATAAATATTGTATGGACTCCACAGAGTAAAGATTGAAAAACAATGCGCTCTCTTACTGGCGCCATCAAGTGGTCCAATAATGAAAGCGCAACGCGCTGCAAAACAAAGCAGAATAAAAACTCAGCACCCTTTTCATTCCACATGCCGCTTGTTGTTGTCCTCGTCCCTGGTCGTGTCCTTGCCATGACATTAAATCGACAGCAACAATGACAGCAAACAGTCTGGGCCTTCTTCAAATCAACGGTTTCCTTTGCTTGCAAATTGAGCGGCAATTGCAACGTTGCGTATACGCAATGCGCCCAAAAACTTGTTTTCTTTTACGTTAGCAACTTACGCACCATTTACATAACAATGGACAATGTACGTCAGCCAATCCCTCTCCCCGCCAACCTGCGTGTACACACCCCTGACTTACCAACTTGTGCTAAGTGTGACAATAAATTGCTGTCAAGTTTTATTTATCTATGGCCTGGCCATTTCCTGCGTGTGTTTCCATGGCCAGAAACTTTGTTAGGCTCAAGCACGGTAACAACAGCAACATAAACTCAAAGAACAAGAATGAAAATATGGGGTGCTCGACTAGGAAACACACTACATAGTTCTCAAGATCCAAAGTCAATTTTTCGACTCAATTTATTGAATTGCATTTATTTGGAATACATTTGAAAATTACTGATGATTCAATTTAACAAACAATATGTTATATGTTTTATTATTAATAATATCGTAAGGAATTATAATCAATACTGAGAATTAGCGTTGCAGACAAGATTTACTTTATTAAAGAGCGATATCAGATTTTAGATATATTTAATACTAGAGCAGTTTTACAGTAAATGCCTTAAATTGTTAAAAAAATAAAAGAAAAACTTATGAGTGCAACTATTGTGCAAGCTATATGGTATATGAAATTAATGAGATAAAGAAATAATACTTTTTAATAAGTATATACTGTATATATTTCATTAATTTTATCATATGACATTTTTTTTCGGGAGAGGGTTAGAGTATCTTCTTCTACCATGCTCAGCCACGCGCTTCACAGCTGTGATCCAAATAATGTTGGGGAGTGAACTTTATTACCTTTTTTCACTTGTACAAGGCAAATACTTTTTTGTTTTGCACTTGTTGTAGTTGGTCTTATTGTTGGTGGTTTTGTTGGTGGTTTTGTTGGCCACGTTTTTCTTTATTTTCCGTAGGGTTCATTGTCTTTTTGACCAGACACCAAAGTACCAGCCAGCGTCTGGCGCACTTGTGTGTAT